GGTTTAGGATTTATAAAGGGCACAGGGACACTCTGTTTGTGTCAGCACTATCCTGTAGCTGCTCTCCAGAGCCCGTCTCCTCCTTTCCAGCTTGGCATCCTGCAAACGAGACATTAATGCAGCGTGAATCCGGTGCAAAGTGTGCTGGTGTGCAGGATGATGGTTTGTGGAGTGTCCCCCAACTCGGGGCTGTGCATGCTAACGAGAAACGAGGCAGAAAATCACCCCGGTTTTCCTGCCCTTCTTCTCGTGAGTCTGAGCTGGAAGAGCACCATCCCTTGTGCAAAAAATTCCATGGCCTCTCCCAGTCATTCCTGCGTGGGATACGTGTGGGATCCATGACCTCCACGTGCGGCCATGCACATGGATTTGCCTGGTCCAGGTTTCCGTGGGACTTTGCTCTTTGGACAGCCAGGTATCGGGAGGAAAAATGTGGTTTTCCATGGTTAGGCATGAAAAGGGGGAACCATTGCTTCTTGTGCTTTGCACTCAAGGATTAAACCAGGAGCTGCCAGGGTTGCTCATTTTCAGGAGATCTGGCATCTGTGGGACTCGGGGCTCCTCTGACCAGGACTGTCACTGGCCTCCCAGGTCTGGTTTTCGGGTGTGACACTCACCTCAAATACCTCTCTGGCATCGTGATCGGTTTTAGATCAACTTTGAAGTTGCCCACTGGCTGGCCAAGTGCTGCAGTGTCTGTGTGTGCATGGGCACCTTGTTTTTCGGAGGGTCGGACTCTTTCTCCTGTTCCAGCCACTGGCTGGATGGTTTGAGGATACCCCTGTCATACCTCCTCTCCTTTCCACCTCCTCATCTCTTAACCACAGCTAAATCCCTGTATTTCCCCCCAAAGAGGAGGCTGCAGGCTGTATTTCTCACCGGGGCATCCCCAGGCAGAGAGCAGCCATCATCACGTTCCAAACATTTTGCAGAGTCAAGAGCTATCGTGTCCCCTGGGGGAACGGCAGGGAGAGAGCAGGATGGGGGACCGGGATAGAGGGGAACCCCCAAAGCTGGTGAGGAGAAGATGGGCTTGGGAAATGTGAAGAGACAGAAAAATTTATTAAAAACAATTAATAGCTGCTACAACAAAGGATTTAAACTGAAACCAAAGCCTTAGGGAGGGAGGAAATGAAGTGGCTTATGATTGTTATTTTATTGCTTAATTTTTTTTTTTTTTAAATACAATATGCTAAATGCAAATAAGCGTTCTTACCAAGGAGGAGAGGGAGGGGATGGAAGACATGCCGGGAAAAGTGAGTGGGATCTAGGTTTTGCATCGTTCGCTGAATTACTGGCAGGTCTTTTGTAACATCTGTTAAAAATAAAACAAACATTCATTTCCATTTCTCGCTGCCTGAGATGGCTTCTGCAAAAAAATTTCAACCTGTCCAGGAATTTGTCTTGAAAGTTGCCCTCCCTCTCCTCACGCCTCCTCTTCTCCAGGGGAGATTTCCTTCCTGGACTTCCCAGGGGCTCCATTAGCCCCACATTAAAGCCTTTTTACTTTGCTCTAAAACTCTCCATCGAAGTAAAAGGAATTCTAATAAACCGCTGGGAAGACTCTGCTATTCACTCTTTCCATGGAAACACGGCGCTGCCTCGGAGCAGAGCTCCTCTCGACGGAGCCTGGGTCACGGCAGGAGGAGACCAAGGAGGGATGGAGAGATGGTTTCCATTATAAGAGACCTATTGAGAGAAATAATCACTGCTCTCCCACCAAGGAAAGCCTTCGAGACGATGGGGCCCTCGGCACACCCCGGGAGTGGGGCTGACCTCGGAGGGGGTGGTGGCATGAAGTGGTGATGTGCCGGGTGCTGAGAAACTCATTAAAACATCTGATTAGTGGGAAGGAAGGCACCCGGGACCAATTCCTCTCTCTCGATAGGAGGGATGAATCCGGGAGGGTGGAGGGACCCGGTGCTGCGGGCAGAGGCTGCGCGGGGGGCTCGGGGCTGGGGACGTGGGGTGCAGCGAGGGGCTGGGGTCGTGGGAGGACATCGGTGGCTCCTCGCCCAGGGCCATGCTGCACCGGCCAAACATCACACCAGGCAAATACATTTTTCAAGGCCGAAAAAAGCCTCTTTGCTCTGGGAGGGGGTTTCCGGCTGCTCCCTGGGTCCCAGGCAGAAGGTGGTCCAAGGAGGTCAGTGTGATGGCCCCCCTACCTAAAGTGATTGTGATATAATTAATTTTGAGCCTCCTTGCAGGCACAGTTGTCCCAAGCATTGCTGCTCCAACACCGTGCTGCAAGATGAAGGATTTTTTTTTTTTTTTTTTTTTTTTTTTAAAGCATGAGGAAGCTCGTTAGAAATAGCCCGAAGGGCAAAGTTAGGAAATGAAAATCCATCGGATCCGCTCGGAGCCGGTGCACGGAGCTTGATGAGAGTTGGGGCAGGGCTGCCTGCTCCCTGCCTGCAAGGAGCCGCGAGCACGGGGCGTGCAGCACCGGGTGCGAGGTGTCACCCGGGCCAGGGGACGAAAGCAATCCATTGGGATCATCAGGAGCAGGGCTGGGAGAAACTCAGCCAGCAAGAGGAATGAGAGGAAGAGGAATGATGAAGAGCCAGCTCAGAGCATCCCACGTAGGCACCAGGGAGGTCCTGGGGACCCTGGGCCAGTGGAGCACGGCAGGGCCGGGCGGAAGGGGAGGCTGGTGGGCAAAAGCTCATTTTTCTCAGCACTGAGGAGAATGCCTTATCTTTGTAGGTCGCAGTGGCGAGACACTGAGGGAGCCGGAGCGCCTTTGTTTTAGCAGCTCCAGAAATGACATTGCAATGAGTCATTATTTTTTAGACCCCCCCCAGGGCAGGAGTTGGGGCAGGGGGGTGGTGGTTCTTTCCAGGGAAGCCTTTGGTCGGCAAGGTGAGCCCTGCTCTCGCGGCCGGGAAGATGGGAAGAGGCTTTTCGATGCGGGTCATGCTGGGTTTGTGGTAGCTCAGGGGGAGATCTGCTTTACAGAGGCAGCCGGTGAGCGTCAGGGACAAGGGGACGTGTCTGCGCCCATGGCGGGGGGCTGTGTGCCACGCGCAGGGATGATCTGGAGCCAGATTTTATCAAGAGGATGGAAACTTTTCCCATCCGCGCAAATGCGCAGCAGCATCCTCAACGAGCTTGGAGGCTTTAACGCGTGAGGTTAATTACTGCCATAGGTGATGGTCTCCCACCCAGCCGGCGGTCGGGCTGAGGCAGGCACGGCCGTGTCGCGCAAACGGAGGTGATGTGGGTGCTGGCACCTCGGAAGTGCCGAGGAGTCATGAAATCAGTCTTGGTGAAACTGTAAATCACAGTCGCAGAACTATTAAGCTGTCGGAAAAATGACGGCGTTTGATAAACAAAGCGTTTGGGGGGAAATTTGATTTGCATCTGGGGCTCTCAGGGGCTTGTGGTTTCAACTTTTCTCCTCACCACGGTGAGGTCAGGGTTTAAGGAGAACAGGGCTGAGGTTCTCCTGAAATCACAGGACTCCCAGAGGGGGGGATTTTAAGCATATCAGAGCTTGGAAATGACCCGGATGGATCAGATTGTTGAATTTATGGGATTGTAGTATAAAAATAACAAATCCTCTAGTCTTTCCTCAGTCCCAGAGGAGAAGCTGGGGGTGATGTCCATTGGGTATGCCCCACCTTGTCTTCACTGGGGTGGCAGCCGCAGCCTGTGGTGCCAAATGGTGGAGAAGCTTTTCCTTGTGAAAGGGGCAGGGGGGGGATCAGTGGTTATGGGGGATAAATACCGAGTCCCCAGAGAGCCGTGAGGTCCCTGCTCGGTTTACCATCCAGCAGAGAGGCACGTGTGAAGTTGGAGGTGGCCGGGAACGTGCTGTGGTGTATTAGCTATAAACTGCCAGGCTGGGACTGGGATGGGGAGAAAGGAGATGGGCGAGATGAGAGCAAGTGGTCTGCTTTGGCAGATGCTGGGTCCCCTTATGAGGTTTGGTCTGTTTTGCAGCTTGATGCCTGCTATCTTGAGTAATTAACAGGGAAAAGAGAGGGCCTGGTTATCCATCCTTCAAGAGCAAGGGGTTGAATTGAAAGGCAGCACCTTGGAAGCGGATCAAATAGCTCTCCAACCCCCCGCGTATGGCTCGGAAACTCGCTGCCGTGCTGTGTTATCAAGGTGAACAGCTTTAGTTCAATTAAAGAGAGGCTCAGAGCAGACTCGGGGGAGGAGGCAGGGCTGGGCGTTCGCACCCCTCGGACAGGAGCCAGCACGGAGCTGCACGGCAGCGACCCCGGCCAGCCCACGTCGGCACCGCTGGCGGCAGGACTTGGGCTTCCCGGTGTGCCAGGGCCACCAAAACCCTCCTTGGCATCGCCACGCTTCCCTTTGCGAGGGGACCTGCTCCCCTTCCTCACCTCTGCGCCGGATTTTATTTACCCCTTGGAAAAAGCAGCGTGCGGGGAAGGATCGCTCTTTGTTACCACCTCCCTTCCCCCCCCCCCCCCCTCCCCTAAAATAACCCCCCCCCCCAAAAGCAATTGCTCCCAGTGATGAGCTACCATCAGCTCCCCATGCGCCTAAATCCCCGCAGATGCACGGCGCTGGGAACCCGCGCGCCTGTATTTTTCCTGCCGGTTTCTGCCTGGGCTGCAGCTGGCTACGGCGCGCGGAAAGCTGCAGGTGTGATTTGTTCATTTGCCTCCACCAATCCCCCCCCCCCCCCCCTCCTTCACCCCGCGCTGCCTCCCTCTTGCTTTCCTTCCCCGCTCCTGCGTGAGCCCACCCAGCTCATCCCACCCAGCTCATCGCGGCGGCGAGACCCGCATCCCACCCCGTGCCCGCTCCGGCATCTCCCCGGTGCAGCGCTGGCGGGGAGGGCTGGGATCACTGGGGGCTGGCGTGTGTGTATGTGCATGGAGGGAAAGGGGGGGGGGGGTTAATCTGATCCTACGAGGCTGGAAGAGGAAAAAAAAAAAAAAAAAATCAAAACTATAAAGAAGGCATCAGCCTCCTCCTTTTCCCTCTCCCCCGCTCCAGAGGATTAAGCCTACAAAAAAAAAAAAAAAAAAAAAAAGGGGAAAAAAAAAAATGTCTGCAGCTTTCTGTTGACCCTGCATGATGGCATTTTTGCGCTCTGTGTGCTGCCTCTGCTGATTGCTATTCCTGGCACAAACACACACACACACGCGCGCGCACACACACACACACACACGCAGCCCCAGCACAGCTCACACGGGCACGGCGAGCCCACTCCAAAAAAAAAAAAAAAAAAATTAAAAAAATTTTAAAAAAATTAAAAATCCCCCCCCCCAACCCCCCCCCAACCCCCCAACCATCCCCAAAGCAAACCGGTGCCGTTGCCCGTCGGCATCCCTGGCCACCCTGGTCTCTGCAGGGAGAGCCACCAGCACCCGCTGCCGCTCGCCCTCTCCTGCACCCCACTTCTCACCTCGTCCCCAGCTCCAGTGAGCACTTTCTGCCGGAGCCGCCCGCAGCCAGAGCCCTCCACCACTCCTACCGCTGGCATTACATTTTCAGGCTGGATGCTATAGGGCCGTTTCTAATTACCTTATATCCCCTAGTGGTCTATGAATAATGGTTAGTGAAGGAGCTCAGAAGGGCTGCTGAGAAGGGAAGCAAAAAAAAAAAAAAAAAAAAAAAAAAAAAGAGAAAAAAAAGGGAGAATTGTGCTATTTCTCACATTTTTTTTTCTAAGGATCTAATCTGGCTACTGTGCTCTGGAAGAGGAGGAGAGCGAGCCAGCAGGAGAGAGAGGAGAGAGCGAGGACCATCGCAGGTATTGTTGCAAGCTACATCTTTGTGCTTTTTTCTTTTTTTTTTTTTTTTTTTTCCCTTTTTTTTCTGACTGTTTTTTTTTTTTTTTGGAGCCGCAGCAGAATTGGAGTGGGGAGGGTGGTGGTGGTGGTGGGGGGTGCGGACGGAGCTTTTTCCGGATTTATTTTTCTCTTGTGCAACTCGTGTGCCGCTGCAATTGAATGGATGCACGGCGTCGGCATCGCGGAGTTTGAGGAGGGGGGGGTGGGGGGTGTTGTACGTGTGTGTGTGTGTGTGTGTGTGTGTGTGTGTGTGTGTGTGTGTGTGTGTGTGTGTGTGTGTGTGTGTGTGTGTGTCCCTATGTCCTATTTGCAGCAGCGGCGGAGGAGGGGGGGGGGGGGGTGTTTTGCTCTTCTGGAAGTAATAAAGAAATTTGCAACCGGTCCAAAAATCCTCCTGACTTACCGATTGATGGGTGTCTGAACAAAGATACAGCTGAGACTTGGAATATTTGTGTGTATAAGGGATGCATTCATTTTGCTTGTCCTGACTCCTACTTTTCCAAAGTTAAAATAATAACAGGCACAGGGCTGTGAAAGCCTTTGCAGAGGGAAATCTTCCAGGGGAGGCTTATTTAATTTAGGAGTTATCGATGTGCACGGTTTTATACTTATAAAAGTTGCGGCGGTGCCGCGGTCGGGCGCCTGGCTATCCTTGCCGTTGTCTGCACGTGAGAACGCTGACTTGATGGATTTTCTTTCTTTTATTCGGTGGCTGGCGGGGCAGGAAAAAAATGGATCTAGCAGATAACCCAAGGAATCGCGGGGTTTGCACATCTGGCTGCACCTTCAGAAAGCCCCTCGGTGGGACTTTCACCTCCCGCTCTTTCTCCCACGGCAAATTTTGCCCCCAAATCCTCCGTTGACATTAATAAACAAACAAACCAGGGAATAACCGAGGAGCCCGGCAAGGGGGCTCGGAGCCTGCTGCCGGGGAGGGGGGGCCGTGTGCTTTTGTTTTAAATAACGAAACAGCGATGATTGAAAACATATGAATAGGATGCAATGCAGAGCGGGTGTGTTACGGGGGGGGGGGGGTGGGGGGGGAAGAGCTGGAAAACTGCTTATACGACAGAAGCGGAGCTTGAATGAGTGTGGTGAGATGAAAGGCGAGGGGTCCGTCCCTCGCCCAGCTGCGGTGAGGGGGGCGATTCCCAAAGGCAGAGGGATGATCTTGGGGTGGGGATACTGGCTGGGAAAAAAAGAAAAAACAAAACAAAACAAAAAAACCAAACCAAACCAAACCAAAAAAAAACAACAACAAAAAAAAAAAAACCTAGAGTGAAGTATGTGATTATATCCCATCCAACTTTGCCGGCTGCAACGTTAATGGAGCTAATTGTACTCAAAAATAATAAAATCAGAGGAAAATATGCCTGTGCGTGGAAGGGGGGAGGGATGGGGGGAGCAGGAGTGGGTCCTGAAACCCTGCTGCCCCCCCCCCCCCCCCCCCCAGAAGCGCTGCTGAGGTGGGTGATACGGAGGCGGTATCCAAACGTGGCCGGATTGTGTGTTTATTTGGGCGGAAATAAAGATTGAGCAACTGCCCCGGGGAGGGCTGTAATCGCCCCCCCCCCCCCCCCGGGAACAGCTCCGAAACCGCGCCGGTGCTGCCCTTCGCTGCCTGCCCTGCCCGGCCTTGCTTTTGTGTTTGTTTGCTTCCAAAGAGGGGGGGGGAGGCGAGAAGGGAGCTGGAGGGGGGGGGGACGTGAAGGCGGGGAGAAGCCGTGAGGGCGGAGAGCCGATTTAAATTGGACTTAATGGATTCCCAGGGCATCTCTTTTAGATGAAAGTCAAAATAAGAGCCAAAGTGAATCTCAGCAGACCTGTCTGTTGCATTAGAGATGCAGCCTTCCTCTCCCTCCCTCCCTTTATTCTTTAAAAGAGAGGGGGAAAAAAGTGTTATCCGTACAGAAGACGGCGTGGAGTTTCTCGTTCCTATAATGAGAGCTCTAATTGAAGAACTTGCAGCCTCTTGGGAGAGTCTTTACTGATCGCTGCTTTTGTTATTCATGCCGCGCTCTGTTTTCTTGGGGTTTTCGGGGGGGGGGGGGGGCTGGTGCAAGTCTGGCTGCGCCGGGGTCGGGGTGCGATGCTGTGTGTCCCCCAAGCTGGCTCGGTGGGCTGCTAACAGGTAAGACCCCCTTGGTCCACCCCCCTGGGGGGGCTTTGCTGGGCTCCCCCAGGGTAGGCTGGGTGGCTGCTGCTGGCTGTGCTGTTTTCGAGGAGGGGATGTGCAGCTAAAACTAAACCTGCCCCCCCCCCAGGAGCCGGGGGGGATGTGTGTGAGATGCTGCAGTCTGGCTGCGGGTGTTTCTCGTCCTCGTAGGATCCCCCCCCCCCTCCCCGGGCTGCGGGACGGATCCTGCCCGGCGCGACGTGCGGGGCTGGCCGGCTGTGAGGGTGCAAAGCAGAGCTTGTGCCTCCTGCCTGGGCTTGCTGAAATAGCGGGGAAGCCCACGCAGGGTGCCAGGGTGGGTGCCACAAACCAGCTTGGTGCAGAGGGCACAGTGCAGCCCCACTGTCACGGCTCTCCGGGCACACAGGGGTCCTGGCTCTCTGCAGCCGGAGTGTCACTTGGAGGGGACAGGCGCCGTGCCAAAGCCACGTGGATCCTTTGCCCGCCTGGGGAGTGCAGAGTGGGACACGGCCACCGAGCCGGCAGGACCTGTGCCAGGCAGGAGAGGTGAGCTTCCCCCCTCTCCTGCCTTTTCCGTTGCAATTAAGGATGGGGAGACGGGCAGGGGGGACCGCCACGGGGGTCACCTCACCCCCACTCCCCCCTCCTAGGCCCCCTTGGGTGGCCAGTGTCTCCGTGACCACGGGGAGGTGGTGGCTGTCCCCAAGCCCTGTGTCCCCACGTGGTCCCACGGCAGTGCTGCGTGTGGCAGCAGGGTGGTTTGACGCAGCGGAAGGCTCCTGGGGGGCAGGTCTCTATTGTCCCCATGTCCCTCTCCCAGCCCTGGACCCCTTGTGCAAGCTGCACTTGAGCTCTGCGTGGATGAAAAAAAAAAAAAAAAAGAGCCACGAGCCCTGGGGACGCTCTCAGTGGCGTTTGGGGGCTGCAGGGCTGAGTCTGGCTGGGGAAGAGGGGGTGTGAGCAGGACGAGGCTCCACCAGCCCATCAGCTTAGCACGGAGGCAAAGCAGTTAACCTGGACGTCTGATCTCCCCGAGAATTGTGTATTGACCCTGACAGCGATGCATCAGGAGCAACAGACTCTCCATCATCGATCCCTCTCCTCCCATCACCAGGTGTCGACACCGACTGGTCGTGGAGCCGGCTTTAATTTCAGGCCTCTGGCTCCAGCACATAACACTTAGCCACGGTCCCAAGGTGCCACCAGGCTTTGCAAACACCTCCGCGGGCAGGTTGCCATCCCCGTTTTGTGGCAGGGGTGGCATTTGTCCGGGGTAGCCGGCTGAGCCGGGGATGGGGCTCGCGGAGGACCCAGCAGCCCTGGCTCCCAGGGCCATCGGTCAGGGTGGCCTCCCGAGGTGTCATCGCAGCCTTTGGTGGGGGACCCAGGGGGTCACCCGGAGCTCCTGCTTTGCCAGTCTGCGCTAGGAAAACCCTCTGGTCTGGTCCCCCTGTGCTGTCGGTGCTGAGCAGCAGAGGATGCACCCGGGCTGGGGAGTCCCGGTCCTTCTGCAGCCTTTGCCGGGTGACCTCGGCCGGCCAGGATGCCTCTTGTCCTCCCCCACCTCCAAAATGACCGCGGCCCAAATCCAGCGGGCATGTGGTCACGCGTGCGTGCCACCCCACAGAGACCTGATGAGGAGGGTGGTGTTTTTCTTGGGTGCCCTGATTTTGGGCAGGATGAAGCCGCTGGCGGGGGCCGGCTGGCACGCCGCCTCTCCTTCTTCCCAGCATCTTGAGATTTCCGAGACGCACGCAGCCAAGCTGAGACTGAAAAAGCTGTTTGTGGTTCAAGAGCATCTCCTCGACGGAGGAGAGAGGAAGACTATTCATTCCTCCCTTTCTTTTGGAGCTAGCTGAGCTCCGCTCAGCGGTGCAGGGGCTCTTCCCGCTCCCCCCTGCAAGGGAACGTTAAAAGCCAGGGGCAGAGGATATCTTGACACCCCGTCAATCTGAGCCTTTTACAGCAGCAGTCTCTGAAGGCTGGCACTCTGCTGCACAGAAGAAAACAAGTGAGAAGAGGGGGGGAGGCGAGAGCAAGCCTTTGCAGCCGGCAATCGATAATTGTAGTGTCAGTCACTGCCTAGGAAGTTCCTGCATCCCCACGGTTGCTGGCGGGGGGGGGGGGCAGGAGGGGAGGGTGAGAGCTCGGCTCTGCCCCGCACAGCGTCGGGCACGGGGCAGGGAGCGATTGCGGAGGGCGAGAGCCCGGCCCCGAGCAGGAGCCTCCCACTGCATTACTCACCACTTGATGTAGCTTGAACCTTTCAACTCCCTCCCCTTGGGGATGGAGCGAGCTGGGCCGAAGGTGTCGATGGAAAACGCTCCGCTTTCTTAGGTTTGAGGTGGTTTTATTTCCCCTTTCCTTCTTTTTTTTTTTTTTTTTTTCCTTCCCCACCCCGCTCAGTGGGCATTTTGGGCTCTAATATTCTCCAAGAAATATAAAAGAAACCCCAAACCCCCCCAACCCTGCTCCCTCTCACGTGTGTCTCTGTCTTAGCAAAAGCCAAGGCAAAAGATCAAGGAATTCTTCCTTTTGTGCAGCTTTCAAGACCAAAGATGCGCCGGTGAAAAGGGGAGGCTCAGAGTACCAGGCACACACAAGTGTTAAAGGAGAGGCTTCCCTTTTGTCTCCAAGGCAATCAGCCGGCGAAGGGATCCACAAATTAATTAAAAATTGCTCTGTCTTGATTGAGTTATTCCTGCTTGCATCCCACCTGCCTATCAAAAGACTGGGAATGGCAGGAGGAGATTCCTATTTCTTTCCCAAACAGCTTGGACGTGTACTATGGACCATCTCGCTTGCCTTTTATCCCAGGCAGCA